GCCAATACGACAAGGCTGAAGAGTATCTCCAAAAAGCGCTTGTCATCACAACTGAAATTGGCGACAGACGAGGGGAAGCATCATGTTATGGAAACCTAGGTACTGTGTTTAAGTCGCTTGGCCAATACGACAAGGCTAAAGAGTATCTCCAAAAAGCGTTTGCCATCCAAACTAAAATTGGTGATAAGGAAGGGGAAGCAGCAGCTCTTGGAAACCTTGGAATTTTGTTTAGAACTGTTGGTGATTTTGAAGCTTCGGAAGTATGCTTGGAGAAAGCTTTATTCATATCAAGAGATATTGGAGATGGAAGAAGAGAGTTCCAAATCCTTCAAAGTTACTCCGTTTTTTATTTTTTTCAAAATAAAATTAAAGACTCTATGTCGTGTCTTCATCTGTGCATTGAAAAGTATGAGGAGCTGAGATATTTCTTGGGCGCCAATGATCAGTTCAAAACATCATTTCTGGAGGACACAGGAATATTCCCCTACAAGCTGCTTTGTACTTTGCTTTGTGACACCGGAAATGCTCGGGATGCTCTTTATGTTGAGGAGTTGGGCCGAGCTAGAGGCCTATCAGACTTAATGACAGAGAAGTACTCGGTTGAAACGCACATCTCTGCTAATCCACAATCTTGGTTTGGCATTGAGAACATTTTAAGAAAGAAAAATAACTGTACTTGTCTGTACATTTCTTATTTTCAGAATCGTCTGCATCTGTGGGTCTTGAAAACAAGTGGAGTCCTTCACTATAGAAGAGTATCACCAGAAGAGAATCTAGTTCAGGCTGGGTTGCCCAAAGATTTGTCTTTGGGTCAATTTTTGGATGATAATTTCCGGAGTCTTGGTATTTTGCCCAGTAAAGATTGTGAAGATCGGTCTTTAAATACGATTAAATTGCAACCTCTCTCCCCCGCGCAAAAGAGCTCAGCAAGATTGCGACTTGTGGAGGAGGACGAGGACGAGGACGAGGACGAGAAAGTGATTACAAGTCTATATTTGTGTTACAAAATGTTTATTGCCCCCGTTTATGATTTGCTTGATGAGCCTGAAGTCATTATTGTTCCTGACCGCAGGTTGTACAAAGTTCCCTTTGCTGCCCTGAGTGAAAAGGAGGGAGCCGAATACTTGTCAGAGACTCATAAGATCCGTATCATTCCTTCGTTAACAACACTCAAGAACATTCAAGATAGTCCAGATGACTATCACAGCAACACTGGTGCCTTGGTAATAGGCAATCCCAAGGTTAATTGGCTGCAATCATTGCCAGGTGCAAGAAAGGAAGCGGAGATGGTCGGACGACTGGTGGGTGTTCCGCCTCTAGTTGAAGAGAAAGCAACGAAGCAGGCGGTACTTGAGCAGATAAGTTCAGTGAGCTTGATACATTTTGCTGCCCATGGTGACGCGGAAAGAGGAGAAATTGCACTCTCCCCCATTCCTACTCCCAACAGTCAAAACGCTATCCCACCGAAGGAAGCTTACATGTTGACGATGGCTGATGTCTCACGAGTGAAAGTCAGAGCTAAACTGGTAGTACTTAGTTGCTGTCACAGTGGAAGTGGAGAGATAAGAGCCGAGGGAGTTATAGGAATTGCCCGTGCGTTCTTAGGATCCGGTGCTCGCTCGGTGTTGGTTGCGCTGTGGGCCATTCCAGACTCAGCAACAGAGCAGCTGATGAGCCGGTTCTACGAACACCTCATTGAAGGAAGAAGTGCCAGTGAATCCCTTCATCAGGCCATGAAAGAGATGAGAAAAAACGCCTTGAACAAAATTTCTGATTGGGCTTCGTTTACGCTGATTGGAGATGATGTGAGACTCGAGTTTGACAAGCAGCGGCAAGACTCGGTGAGAACAGGTATTTCATTAATTAAAGTGAAATTAGATGTGAGGATGGTTATGACTTACTAGTCGTTGACTGGATGGGGATCCTTTGTTACCTTGAACATCAAGGCTAGTTTAATATATATCTATATATATATATGTATATAAATATAAATATAAATATATATATATATATATATATATATATATATATATATATATATATCTACACACACTTTTTTTTCCTTTTTGAAGAGTTACTATCGCCGCTCTCTGGTGTAAAGTACAAAATCTCACAAATGCCTCTCTACCAATGAGATACAAGTAATAGCCAATTATTTTTATATATTGTGCTTGGTGTAATTGTGTTTGCTTTATATCCAAAATATTAATTGAGGTAATAATAAATTGGGTTATTTCCAATTTTTTCTTGCAGGAAAAAAGACCCCGATAGAGTAAATAATGACAAGTACTCGAAGGGAACAGAGTTAAAAGACTTTTAGATCGATAAATTAAATAGAAATAAGTAGAGAAAATACTCTATTCGGTATTTCATCGACATTAAAAAAAAAAGAGCTATCCCAGGTTAGGGGAGAGAATAACGGTTATTCCTATTTTTGGTGCTTTCTTTTCTGATATTCTCAGGAGGAGGTACTGGTTATGTACTCACCACTTTTTATGTTTTTCACGCAAAAATTATATTCTGATATAATAAGCACGAAACAATGTTGACCTACGTAAGGCTTTTGAGTAAAACGAATTCAGTAAAGTTAAGACAGTAGTTTAAGTATTAAACAAACCACTAAAATCTGGTATGAGTTTTGTATTTTCGAGCCTTTTGTAAGGTTTAGTTATTAAGAATACCTTCCATACTTGTTTTTGTTAATATACGGGTAACTGCGGAGAGATTCGTTTATACTAGCTCAACGCCTAGCAGGAGTCGTGCCGGCCCGTAAACACTTTTTAAGCGGCGTTAAGATAGGATTCGCAAAAGGAGAAGCGTTGCGCATCCTAAAAATAAATCCGAAGCACTTCACATTTAAAAAAATCGTACAGAGCTTAAAAATACGACTAAAAGAGGGGAAAGAGGATACCTGACGAAGTTCTGGAGAAATACGTGTCTCAAGTTACCTGCTCTAGTAGAGAAGGATCACTTCCGGCTTTACAAAAGCTCAAGAACACGCTGATGTGGAAATGTCACATTCAAAATCACATCGCCAAAAAACATTAAAGTATATCCTGGCCAGAACTGATCTTTGGAGACAGAAGTTTAAAATCGCTTGCAGATGGCGGGAGTGTCATGCGGGCATGTCAATACTTCAATTTTTAACTGGTCACTTGCCACTTGTGCTATGCACCCTGCGCGAAGCTTGTCGACGCTTAAATGCAGAAAAATCTCTGCCAATTGGCTATGAGTTATATCTCTGAAATAAGTAATCCTGTCTTGGAATAAAGAGTTCATCTGTTGTAGAATAAGTTGATTCGTAACACCCTGTATGTAAGGAATAACAGCAAAACCAGTCGCTGGTTCCCTTTCATCAAGAGCGTTACTATTTGTAACTGGTTTTTGGCAGTTACGGAGAAAAGTTTTTGTATAGCCATTTGCCCATTTGGATTTTAGTGAAGAGCGAAACAACGTCGAAAGATACTAATTCTTCACAAGCGTTAAGAGTTTTATCTTCTATGAAATCCGCAAATTCGCAGGAATTTTTGACAGTGTCATCAGTATTCCCAACAACAGGCGACAAAATTCTCGCAAGATAACCAGAAATTGCATAAGTCGGAGAATTAACAAAAGAGACAATGGGTCTCAAAGGAATTCGCGGTTTATGAATTTTAGGTAAGCCATAAAAACGTGGACATAAGCCGTCACTACTGTCTAACATTTTGTACGTAGAGTCACTAATTTTATCAGCTTTTTGCAAATCAAGCAACATTTTTGTTTAACTTTCTTTGAGGTTTTACTGGTAGGATCAGAGTTTAAGACAGCAAACGTACTCTTGTCATTAAGCAGAGTCAAAGCTTTGTCGTGATATTGCTGTTTGTCCATAACCACAACACAATTACCCTTGTCAGCAGATAATACGAGCCTGTCCGGATCCTTTTTGAGAGCTATAAGTGCATTGAAAACATCCTTTTGAATATTTTTGGGAGGAGGTTTAGATCGTGACGATGGCGGTTTGCTTCCTGACGCTTAATTACTCCTCGTCAGAAAAAAAAAAAGGCCGCTAATTAGTGATCATATAAAAGGACCTCTTGTTACAGCGTCTAGATCACCCCTGATGAAGGCACTAGACAGGAGTGTCGAACTGTCGAAACGTTGGGTCTATGAATTGTAACTTCTTCGGTTACATTCATCAAATCTGCAAACCAGAGTAGCATCAAACTATGTCTGATTGTCCACCTGGTTGCCGTGTGGACTTTAATGTATTAGATAAGAAGGCATTTGCTTACCTTGGCTCCTTTGATCACTGAACCAGTCGGCCTACGGTTGATGAAGTTCGGGATCTTTTGGTCGGTAACGGCCCATGGAAGCGCGCTTGACAAGGTGATACAAGATGTCCTACTATTGCGTCATATTCCAAACCATTGATCCGGAAAATCCGTATTCCCTCGCTATCTCTCGATTGTTGTTAACAGCTTCAGCTTCAATTACGATTTTTAACTTGAAGTTGAGATCGTAAGAATGACGGCGAGTGTTTGGCATGATTTTGCTGAATGTAGACTTCGCAAGATAATGTTCACCAGGTGAAGTAAATTTGCGACTACTGATTTTGTTGATCGAATTGTTTTTATACTTTACATGTAATAGAGGGGTCACTCGTCACAATAACAAGGGCAAGGATGAGGGAGCCTGGGGAAAAGTTGCCAAAACTGTATTGAGAATAATCAGACAACCTTATTAGCATGAGGATGTCAAGACTGATAACCAAATTCTCTTGCCTTGTACACAAAGAAATTTATAGCAAATGGAAAGAAGAGTTGATTAAGCGATCTTGAGAGTCAGCAGTTATATATACTGGTAAGTACTGCTTTTTTCTTGAATAAGTGTCCATGATCTAATAAGCACCCTACCCTGAACATGCACCCATTCCCTTGGCCATAATGCCAATTATTTGCCCCTCTTGAAGAAGCTCCTTCCACACACTTATTGTAGGGATACATGGAAAACCTTTATCTATTGCCACTTTATTTAAAACTCTTTAAGCTTCAACTAGAATGGAATCAGTGCTGGAGAACAGCAATCGCCCTCCTTCAAATAAGCACCTCTACTGAGCTGAATGTTTAAACAAATATCCAGGTGCTTACTCAAGGTGATATGGTATAAACATTTCTGTCACCTGATGAATGTGTCATAGATGACAAGCAAATTGACACAACCAAAGGCTATTTTCACAACTAACCTCTTTAATTAATTCTTTTCCTACTAAACACTCAATTTTTTTTTCACAGTGTTGTCGATGTTATGAATTATTTACAGTTAATTATCTCATCTTCCATCCATTGACTTGTCTCTCTGTATCACTGACTCTTCAAACTTGATCATCAAAGTTGTTCCTTTGTGCCAATGTGCAGTTACTTTAGCAGGCTACAACAAAATCATATTGTTAATTCCTTGTCAGTAGCTATCCCACACTATAAATCACTCAGCCAGAAATCTCAATTCACCTAAACGCTTAACATTAGAAAGCACCTTCTCTGTACCTCTCTCTACTCATTTTCTTTTAAATTAGTATTTACTAACGACGAGAATTCGTTTAGCAATCAAGAACTTCATTTGCTGGTTATCATCCCTTTTACTTCCATTACCTAAAAGTTCGATTAAGCAGTGATGTAAGGGGTTAGGGAGTTGAAGATTTACAGGGAGTATAGGAATTATATTTGACATAATTCACCTAAGAATTGCAATGCAACTCAATCTTGCTGACTGATTTTCAATTAATGTGGTCATTGAAATCTTAAGTACTCAAAGCTTCCCATACAAAGGCTCGAAGTGCCAAGAGCTTAGCACTAGTGGTATTGGTGAGCCAGATAGGAAAATAATGAGACAATTGATAGTATTTAAGGAGCACTTTGATTGGCTACTCAAACTCCAAATATTATTTGCCATTCACTTCCAATCAGTGTCAGTGGATATTTATCCTGCTACTTTGCCACCCAGTAAATATTCACCATCAGCCACCTTCAATTTGTGGAATGGTTGTTAAATAACCAGATTTAACTGACATTAATTACACTTACATTAACAATAAAACATTCATTTAAAAATTATTGATTTAAAGAACTTACAAAATTACATCCATGTAACACAGCTTCAACAATGCCAGCAATGAAAGATGCACAGTTAAGGCTTCCTGTAAAGTATGAAATGAAAAAAGTATAAAAACCAAGAGGCAAAACCCCAAGCTGGCCAGAATCTGTTTAAGCCATCAATTAACTGCACAGTATTCAATGCCTGATAACCCTCTAACTCCCAAGATCTGATTGTTAATTCTCCCCTTTAGCTGTTACACATTTCCTTGTAAATTAGTTATGAGAATTTGGTGTTATATCAGGAAAACAACTTCTACTCGATCAGTTTCAGTATTATAGGGAGAAGTTACTTGTTGATCACTTCTGAGAGTTAAGGGTTAAGAGATTTCTTCCCAGTCACAAACATAATCATAACTATTACAATTTCCTCAAATGTGATTGGTGCACTAACTGCTTCGTTTTTGACTAATTATTTTGTAGGGTTGTAATCGGACAGTTGGCTGTAATCAAACACTTGTAATCATACACCTGTAATCTGACATCTGATACAGCTAATTGTACCTAGTCCTCTCAGGTAAATCTACCAATCACAGAATTGATCACGATAACCATAACAACAACCACTCATCATGAGAAAAACTGGGAATTTCCAAAATGGAGTAATTTGTAACTCAAGACATTGTCTCCACTAGATGTATCTTTTTTGGAAATTGTAATGGCTATGATTAATTAGTAACAGGACTTTTTGTCTTCCAATTCTGTCTTTATTCATATGAGTGATTAACAAAATTGGATGATTGCAAAGTGTGAGTCTGATTTGTTTATAACTCAACATGTGATTACAGACCACTCAGTCCTACAACCATTATTAACTGGGTAAATTCCTTGTCTGCCAATAGGAAACTTAAATCACAATGATTATAACCCAGTTTAGATATTTAAAATTAAGCTTTATACAATAGAACTCACCATGAAGCTTGGGGGAATAAAAATAATATAGAGTTTTAAGGATTTATACCTCAGAACCTCTCATAACATTTAAATCCTGAATTTAAAACATTTCAAATTTTGCATAGATGTGGGATTGCACCAACACCAACTCACACTAATCACGTCTTTCTTTCATCTGTTCATGTCTAATGAAAATAATTTCTAGTTCTTTTATAGCTCACTTTAACCTTTAACTCCCAAGATCTCATTAGCAATTCTCCTTTCTGTCTACCATACAGTTTGTTTGGAGAATGTAGTATTGGATCCACTAAAAATCCCCAAATTGATATTTTTCTTTTATCTCATCTCTTATCTGCCTTATATAATCTTGATATCATAAGGAGAAATTCTGCTTTGATCACTCATGAGATTTAAAGGGTTAACTCCCATAAATGATTAACAATTAACCTCTCACTGCAATATCTATACATTGTCCAGCAAACAGGTAATGAGAATATTCAAACATATCAAGTAGAAGTTGTTGTCTTGATCTAACACCAAATTCTTGTAACCAATTTAAAAGGAAATATGTAAAAGCTGAAGGAGAGAATTGACTATCAGATCTTGGGAGCTAAAGGTTCCACAGGTTCTAAAATTCTACACTGTACCTTTGTCCTTTGGAACTGAGATAAACTTATTGACAAGAGGTTCTTTTTCAATTATATAATCTGAAAGGACTGTTAAGGTCTTGCAAACTTTTTTGATACAGATCGAACTCTAGTCACTTAAGGGAAACATGTTGTCAGCGATTTGCTATTAAACATATTTGCTACAGTAATAATCATTTTAACATTTCTTAACACAAGGCCTTTATTTCTAGAAGGATGATCAACTGTGAATTGTTCTGGGAATTCAGATTCAGAATTTCAACTTAATGTAGCAGATTAAGTTACCGTGACTACTTCACATGGAGATACCCTTTTACTAGGACAAGAACTGCACCTTTCTGTACAAAGGGTATGTAACATTAAACACTGGATAAATCTCTAACCAGTGGATAATGCAGTACTTATGTTAAATATTAAAACTTATTCCCTGGATAGCAATTTATCTGTTGGATAGCCTGATGTACTCTTTGAACTGGTGGACCATGGAGTTCAGTTTGCTTTGCTTCTCAATAACTAGTGTTTCAGAAGAAAAGACTTAAGCCACTTAAGCAGTCATGCGTAATCTTGTTGCTGCCAGAAGTTTGGCCTCAGAAAAGTTGTAAACAAGTCCACACATCTGATGGGGCATTGTTCACACCTCCTTGAACCCTCCCCTCCCCCTGACTCTGCTGTTGCAACACCTGGAAATGATTAACATGACACCAAGAAACCCGTGCATGGACAGAATACGTACCCAGAAGTGGAATGGAGGAAGGATAAGAAACAAGCAAAATAGCACTAAAGCAGAATGAGTCAAAGCACTTGGTAAGGGCCCTGGACTTTACACATCACTCAACTCTTATAAATCCCTGCTTTAAGGGTGGAAAAAGCTTTACATGAGGCATGTGATTAATTGCCCAAAGTTACGACATAAGCCAAAAATTTTACAGAAAGGCAACTGCAAGTTAAGTGAGATTTGAAATTTCCCTTTGAAATTCTTGATGCATAAAATACTGCAAGATGCCTGAATTTTTCTCAAATTTGTACCTGACATGTGATCAGGATCTCCACTTTGATACCCTTTGCACTAACTTGACTCAAACTTTACCTTAATTGCATTTAACCTTATTTTTAACTAAACTCAAAATGATAAGGGGTGTCATTCAAATTGCCTCACAATAAAGAAGGATACATGTTTTGTCATCATCATTAGCTTGCTCCAACTTATCAGCTTCTTTGCCGAATAAGGACTACAAGGAAATAAAATATGAAAACAACAAGAAGTTAATAACAATGAAATCAGATTCTGAAAGATAAAACATCTAAAAAATATATTAAAAAAACAATGTCTCATTTTTCAAAATTCCATATCAAAATCCAAAACAGGATCCTGCTTGACATAATTTTATATTAATCCTTTCACTCCCATGTGTGACCAAGGCAGAATTTCTCCTTACAATATCAAGCAGACATATAATGAGAGTGAAGCAAAATATATCCATATAAGGTGATTATTAGTTGATCCAATACCGAATTCTCTGAACTTACATCATCCCATTATCAACTCAGTTGATAACAGCTGATAATCTTGTGATCTAATTTTTATTTTCTGCTACACTCTATCTACACTTTATGGATAAACCCTTAAACTCCCAGAGGTGATTAACATGTAACTTCTCCCTATAATATCTATACATTATTCTCAAAAAGGTGATGAGAATATTCAGTATTATCAGGTTAAAGTTGATATCTTGATCTAACACCAAATTCTCCTAACTAATTTACAAGGAAATGTGTAACAGTTAGAGGGGAGAATTAACAATTAAATCTTGGGAGCTGAAGGGTTAAAAGGTTAAGTGGTGCACTTGAGCCAAAGAGCCTGCAATGTTGCAACTTATCCTTAGGGTGGGAAGAGAGTGGGACAAGAAACAGAGTGATAGTCAGATGCAGTTTTTGGCTTGTGTGTCATCCATTCTTGTGGTTTTTTTATTACCACTTTAACTCCCAAGATTCAATTAGTAATTCTCCTTACTGTCTGCCATACAATTCTTACGATGTCAATTTGGAGAATTTGGTATTGGATCAGCTAATAATCCCCTAATTGATATTTTACTTTATTCTCATCACTTTGATGCTTGATATTGTATTGATATTGTAAGGAGAAATTATCTCCTAGTCACTAATGGGAGGTGAAGGGTTAATTAATAATACTTTTTACTTACTTTCCACAAAACTGATTTAATGAAAAGGAGAATGTTTAGTACTCTCACTTCCCTTTTCAGTCCTTTCTCTCTCAACACCAACACATCAAGCACTCTGGAACCAACTTGTTGGCCTAATTCTGACAACCTGTTTAAATGATTAGAATCAAAATCACTAACAATAAACTGCCCAAGAAATCCATATTATTTTTTTGGAAGTATCTATGTGCACCAGAATCCTAAATCCTTGAATCTGATTGGCTAATTGTGTGCTTGTAAGTCCAGCTTTTCACTATACAGACCACTGTATGGAATTTTTGTGGTGTTCATACAGAAAAAAACTATGCACTGAGGACCTTAAACAAGATTGAAACCCCACTACCCATGGTAAATAACATAAATTTTAACAGAAGTTAAATAGAAGGTCTTTTTTATTTGTCTCTCAGTCTGCACAGCTCACGATCTAAATACTTCCGTGATTCGGTCAACCAGTAGTCAGTTAAACGGTCATTATTCTGCAGAAAATGTGGTGCTGCGTCAGGTTAATTTAGAGTTATCAACTGAGTTTAAAACGTAAATTGGTCACCGTAAAGAGTTTAAAGACTGACGTTACGAACGTTAGCCTTCCGTCAGAGCGATCGAGCATCAGTCTATTTGTCACATATCAGTCAATCAATTGAATTACTTCCACAACATTTTCATCCTGTACGAGACAGTCGTAAAACCAGTAGATGACATATTAAAAATCACAGTCTCCCAATTAGCTAAACAGGAATGCCATCGCATGAGATTAATAAAATAAAGTATGATATTTTCGCTCCTAAGGTTCTGTTTTCACTCACTTGGTTTGAAGTTCCGGTACAGTGTGAACTCTGTTTTGGCAATACTGAACCATCTCCGAAAACAGCAAGCCAAAAGTGCTGACATTTATCTACAAAAAACATATGGATCGTTCTAAGAGCACAAAAAAGTAGTCAGCCGATTAAAGATCAACCACTGAATACCTCATTCCGCCCTTTACTGAGCGGTTTTTCAAGGATGTTTGACGATCTACCTCTCCGGACTGACTCCATCTTGTTTTAGGCCTGGCTGCTAAGGTAGAAGGCTTGGCTGGTAATGTAACAAAATGGCGGATGCAGAAGATGCAGAGCGTCTGGAAAGAAAATCAGTCGTAGATCGATATTTTACGCGTATTTTTAAAACGGGTTTGTCATGATTACAGTTTAAAGTTTGCTTTTGTCGATGTTTGTTAGGGTAAAATTTAGATTATTCTCTTTTTGCTAAAATTCACAGATATAATGGGGAAATTTTGCGAAGATCAATGTGTGCTGCAGCATTCAAACAAGTAAGAAGCTGGAAGAAGCAAGGAACGACTTGATATTCACAGAAAAAATGCAGTTTAAGCCATCAAAGGAAAATGCATCTGAGGAGCATATATCTTTTACAGACTTATTTTTCTGCATTTGCCTAAACTGCAGTTAACTTTCGAATTTCAATGTCGTTTCTATGCAGAGTAATTTTATTCACTTAGGGTGATTCCTTTGAATTAAAAATTGTCTTTTCAAAAACCACAACATAAAAGGTAGGTCTCCGTGCTTGCTTAAGAGATATGATAGGCCAATCTGACCCCATATATGTACCTGTATACGTACAGGTAATAATCAAAAGTAGCAAATTGTTTCATTTTTTCATGGTTCAAGGAATGGCAACAATATAAATTTTAAAAACTTGTTGGGTAGAATACCCAGGTAATTATCACGCCTTCAAGGTTTTGGGAAAAACTTGTTGGGTAGAATACCCAGAGCATTGCCTTCAAGGTCATAATTTGCACCTTATACATGCTTTTAGTGTTATCATTTTTCCTTTAGATTTTTATTTTTTCAATTTTTTTCCAATACTTAAAATTAAGGGAATCATTTTACACCAAGATTAAGCAATGAAAAATACAGGTAACTGTGTTTTCTCAAGATTAGAAGACTTTCGTACCTGTCTATCTTGTCCATTGACCCTTTAACTTCCATGAGTGACCAAGAGAGAATTTCTCTTTACAATATCAATACAATATCAACCACATAAGTAATGCAAATAAAGAAAAATATCGATTTGGGGATAATTTGTTGATCCAATACTAAATTCTCTGAACTAATATTATAAGAATTGTATAGTTGACAGTAAGGAGAATTACAATTTGATCTGGGAGTTAAAGGGTTAATTGAAAAAAACAAACAAACAATACTGAACAGTATGTTCTTGGATTTTGCATACTTTACTAGATTAAACCTTTAATTCCCACGATATGATTGTCAATTCTCCCCTTTAGCTGCTACACATTTTCTTGTAAATTAGTTAGAAGAATAGGGTGTTAGATCAAGATGTCCCCTTTAGCTGCTACACATTTCCCAGTAAATTAGTTAGAAGAATAGGGTGTTAGATCAAGACGTAAACTTCTACCTGATGAGTTTCAGTATTCCCATTACTTGATTGCTAGATAATGTATGCATATTATAGGGAGAAGTTAGATGTCAATCACTTCTGGGAGTTAAAGGGTTTATTACTTGTTGTTGTGTGCAGCACAGGATGCGCATTGAAATACTGAGGAATCACCTTGGTGGTATTGAGATGAGCTTGAATGAGTTCTGGCAGTGTTATGATTATTTTGATGTACAGCAGGTTCTTGTTTTTACCTTAGAATCATGGCAAAATATTTTGCTCTCCATTTTTTCAGGATATGTGTGATTACTGTAGCACCAAGTCACCCTTTACTCCAATGTAAGCAGATTGTGAAAGTGAATTTTCAAGTGAGCACCAAGGTGAATCGATTGGATAACAAAGTTTCTGGGAAAGGGAAAAAAGGTGCTCAGCATTTACAACCAGAGTCTTTAATTTGTGAAGTCACAAGTTCAGATGGCAGCAAGTATTCACTGTATAGGTATGAAAGATTTTTTGTATGCAATGAAAAATTAGTCCTTACACTGTAAATCTTGTATAGTGTTAAACCAGAGAATATACCTAGGCATTTGTAATGTCAGAGTTGCCAAACTCTACAAATCTGAAGATGTAAGATGGGATGATTTCCCCCAACCCACCCCTACCCAAATTTTCTTGTAACTGTTTTGTCCCAGTCTCTGCCCACAGAGTGAAGTTCCTTAGGAGGGACATCAGCAAAATTACAACAGCTATGCTCAGACAGAAAACATAATTTTTTCTAAATAATTGTAAAATTTATATTGTTTGCCATTCTCTTTAAGAAGAAAAAAAAACTATTCAAATTTGCTACTATTTGGGTGATTTAGGAAGCTGAACTAGTGGTTGGAAGAAATTTTTTTTTCCTATCCAGGAGACACTCTGGTATTAGGTTGGAGATTTCACATATTAACCCTATAACTCCCAAGATCTCATTAGTAATTCTCCTTACTGTCTGCGGTGTAATTCTTGTGATGTTGGTTAGAGAATTTGGTATTGGATCAACTTTTAATCCCCTAAGATTTTTTTCTTTATTCTCATCACTTATCTGCTTAATATTGTATTGATATTGTAAGGAGAAATTCTGTCTTGGTCACTCATGGGAGTTAAAGGGTTTACACAAACTATTAATGCTTGATGTGTTTATATATCATGATCTCATACATAGCTGCATCAGAGGAAAGCTGGTTGAAGTTAATGAAAAACTGGTCACAAATCCACAACTGTTGTTAGAAAAGGTTTGGCACCAACAAATCTGTAAATTAATGTATTAATTTGTATTAGTATTGAGAGGAGGGATTTTGAAAAGTTTTTAATTGTGCTGCATTTTACCCTCTCACTCCAAAGATCTCATTAATAATTCCCTTTGCTGTTTCCCATACAATTCTCATGATGCTACATGTAGTTTAAAGAATTTAGTATTGGATCAATCGATAATCTCCTTATTGATATTTTTCTTTATTCTCATCACTTGCCTGCTTAATATTGTTTTGATATTGTAAGGAGAAATTCTGCCTTGGTCACTAGTGGGAATTGAAGGGTTAAAAATCTTTTTGTTGCACAGCTAGAAATGTGGGACAGCTGTACTGTTTGCTCACATGTCTTGTGCAACAAATGAAAATATGCAGCCTCAATCTCGTCAGAGTTCTTGGCTGATTATGCTTCCAGCTGAAAGGTGTATTTACTACTTCCAGATTAAAGTTTATTTAACACTTTCTGCTTTCATTTTTTTTCCTTTAGCCACAAACTGAAGGCTACCTTGCTGTAGTCCTCCCAAAACTCACTGAGAATATTCTGAATGGACTTTTGACAAAAGAAGACTATGAACAACTTTTAGAGGACAGGAAAGCACTAGATGGTATGAGATTAACAATTTGTTTTATTTTGTTGACATTTTCTAGGTAAGAAAAGATTTGATTTTAGAACTTTAACCCTTTCACCCCTTAGAGTGACTTAAGCATCTAAATTCTCTTACAATATCACCCCTGAATCAAACATTAAAGTCATGAGAATTAAGGACATGATCACCAACTAAAGAAACTGTTGATTGTTCAACAAATTCTCCTTGTCAGCACCTAAGGAATAATATAGAGAACAGTATGGAGAATATGCACAGCATACTGATGTCAGGTGCAAAGAGGTTAAAGGTAGAAGAATATAGTTTATGGATTCATTCATGAGGTGCACTATTCTGTAGGGAGTTACTACATCACGGGCGACGAGCGGGGGATGAAGAAATGACCGAAATACGAGAGGTCAGCGGGGAAACAAATTTAATACTTCATATAGAGACATATCAGTTGTAGTTGCAGAAAACAATAGTGTTGTAAAGTCGAAATGTTAACAGTATACTTCGCTAAATAAAATGTGAAGCAATTTTTCAAAAGTGTTGATAGCACATATATCTTTTACTGCTTTATTAAACAATGGAGGTATCGGGAAAGGTACCAAGAAGAATTATATTTACGTTTTGTAACTTACATTTAAAAATTCTTTTAAACGAACGGACGGAACTACGAACGGTAGCTGTAAAATTTCTTTATTCCCTGACGCGTTTCGTTTAACTTTCGTAAACTTCTTCGGGGAGTTTTACAATTTAACACTAAACATCTTTATTTATAGGCCATAGTTAGTGGCTATACGGGAGCCAATGACCGTAAAGGCTTGGCCGGACCTACGAATAGGAAAAGGTGAAGCTGCGGAAAATTTGAAAATGTTTTGGCGCAAGGTGGGAGAATTCATTTGGGGACCACGGTTTTTGTTTTCTTTTTTCGTCACGCAGCAAGTTACAAAACGTAAATATAATTCTTCTTGGTGCCTTTCCGGATGCCACCGATGCCTTTTCCGATGCCTCTATTGTTTATTACAGCAGTAAAAGATATATGTGCCATCAACACTTTTGAAAAATTGCTTAACATTTTATTTAGCGAAGTATACTGTTGATATTTCGGCTTTACAACACTATTGTTTTCCGCAACTATAACTGATATGTCTCTATATGAGGTATTAAATTTGTTTCCCCGCTGACCACTCGTACTTCGGTCTTTTCTTCATCCCCCACTCGTCGCCCGTGATGTAGTAACTCCCTATTCTGTACAACACCTCACAGTGATGAACAGCACTGACACAGCACAACACAAGTTTCTTTTAAACCACTTCATTCAAACGAGTTTCATGATATCAACAATTTCTGATACCTTCCATCTTTTCTTTAGTCAAAAGCGGGTGATATTTATCTCAAGAGTGTCAGGGTTTTTGTAGAGGACCCGATCGTTTACGAAGACACCCGAACACTTCCGAAGGCGTTTGGAAGATTTCCGAAGGCAAATGAAGGTTCCAGGGCAAATGGCTGCAACTGTGACTGTGAATGAGAATGGTATGATGAAGAGCAGTAAGATAAAGATGGTGTGATGGTAAAGATTACTTTTCTTTAGCAGTCTTGTTGATGGTTCGTTGATGTTTGAGGAAACGAGGAGAGTATCGTCAGCCATTGCATTCGTCGTCATAGAGCACGTGTTTACATACGGGATAACTTCGTAATGGCTTTGCTCACCGTGGAGTCTCTGTGGATCAGTGGTAGAGCATTGGAGCGCGGAATCCGAAGATTTGAGATTCGATTCCTCACAGAGAATCAGAATTCTTTCTTTATCTCACGTCCGTGACAAGACAAAAAAAAAATTTTGCACTTCATACATGTACAAAACAACATTGTTGTAGAGATGTTAGTTATGAAAGGCCAGCTTTTCCTAATCTCCTCACCTTGGGTGAAAAACTGGTTTTATCGATTACGGGAAAACGTCATCCATCTGAAAATAACGGCTGTATACTCGTTTTATTTCACAAGGGAAGTTGATATATTGTATCCAGTTTTATATTTAAACTTTGAGGAGAAACCGAATGGAGGATTTTAAAAAAATTTGCGAAAAACCGACTGGTAATATTATAATTGTAAGCTTAAAAGGAGCCATAAAGTTAGCAGTTTCTATCATGTACCAGAAATACTGGATATGAAAAGATCCAATCCCCCTCTCTTAATAAAGCTCGAGACGATCACTGACTTTATTTTGGCAACTTGCGAGTTGAATCGAAATAACATCAGTCATTTACAAACGATGGGCATGTTTTGTGGTTTTTTAGTATTTAAAACCCTTAAACTCCCAAGATCTGAGTTTTAATTCTCCCATATAACTGCTATGCATTCCCTTGTAATAGTTGCGAGAATTTGCTCTTTGGTCATGATGACAACTCTGACCTGCGATAAGTTTCAGTTTTCTCGTTACCTGTTTGCTTGATAGTGTATTGATATTATGGGGAAAAGTTAAATGTTAATCACCTCTGCGGAATTAAAATGTAAATAGTGCACCGAAGCAATTGCAATAAACTGATTTTGTTTCTAATCTTCAAAAACTGGGGATTTCTTAAGCAAACTTTGAATGAAGAAAAAACGATTGGATCTCAATGAGTTTTTTCAGATTAATACTTGTGAGCGGAAGACATCCCGATTGTAAACAAAGCTTTAAACCTCCGTTTTTGGCCCACTTTTAGCTTCCCATGGTAATTTATTGCTATACTATTAACTTACGCGCTGTTTTTAAGCTTTCACAACCAATAGTCGCTTGATCACGACGCGTAATAGCGAGTTTAAGTGTGAAGTTTATAACCGCAGATAGCGAAAATGAACTCGTAGTTAACTCACTTTTGGTAAAGTTCTTAAATTAGTGCTACAGCAAAATAACAGAAAAAAATTTCCAAAGCTAATAGAGAACAACGACTGAAAGAAATAGGCAGGAAATTCAAATTGTGTCTTTTGCCGAAGAAGTTCGTGCCTCACATCAAATGCCGCCCCAATCTTTTCTCTCATCTGAAGCTCGCTTCATACCGAAAGTGACTAGACAGACTACCAGACTACAAAACATCGCTTTTATAAAATTAATCCCAGAATGCGACGCAAGAGACAAAGTTTTACGTCACGAAAAGGTTTGTAACTGATGCGCGCGAGAACGGACGTCACAGAGCTCAATGAGGTCATAGCGAGTTGGAACGAAGTGAAATAGTCCACACGATAACAGTTCACGATGGGTTTTAAAAAGACACTGAAAGCTCTTGAAATCCTTGAGAAGCCAGAAGCCATCTTTAACCGGAGGCTTCAAAGTAACCCATATCATCCATTTAACATGGTTGAACGAAATAGTAAGTGGAAATGTGATTGTTCACGCTACTAGAAGTATGAGTGTTAGAATGTAAGTAGGCTTGATTACAGCTGAAAATTTCTTTCCGACATTCCTGTTTAGGATTGGTGGTTTAGTCAAAGCGTAATGTAAATAATGTCAGTTCTTTTCATTTTTTCTTGTCCGTGTCTTTTGTTTGTTTTGTTTTGTTTTGTTTTTGCCTGTAAAACATTGAGAGTCGATTTATGCAATAAAAATTACTGGGTTGCGATCTTTTTCGACGAGGACGTGCGCAGTTTTGGAAACTGACTCTCGCGTCCCTTTTTCCAATCTTTATTTACGCGAGTATGCAACAGGTTTTTTTTTCGATCAACGGTTGCTTTTCCTGGTTATTGAAGAGATCATCACCATTATAGGAGCAACTTTCCTTCAGGAGTGAAAAGCATTCCGGGATACGTAATGATTTTGTTGATGTAGAAATCACCCGTTTTATTTCAGAAAAAAATTGTACTTCTCTCGACTCGATTATCATATCTACCTTACACACGCCAAAATATCAAATTTTGCCGAGCCAAATTGAGCCAGCCGCAACTGATTCAAAGTTTTTTTGATTAATTTGCAGAGTTCGTTCTTGCTCTGAGTAGAAAACGATTTTACATTGGAACACTTACGGCTTTCGTTTCAACAGTTGCACTGATTACGTGGGGAATTGTGTTTGAGGCCAGCGTAAGTATATTTGATAAACGATTACATTAAAACACATGCTAAAGTAAAACAAAACAACTCAAACAAAAATTACGGTCGTTAAATATTCTTGGACAATAAGACTTTAGATAACTTGCCTTCTCATAAATTCTCTGCCAGTTGAATCTGATTCGATCCAAAGGTGATCAACACTAGTGTGTCTTTCATCGATTTGATACATGCGCTTTCGCCAGCACGTGATAAACACGGATCAGAATTTTTAGGTCATTAACGATTCTTGTGATTTTTCTGCGCGCAATCTCTACCTGAGTTTCTTGCGCAGAAGGGTGATCATTTGATAAATTTTACTCAAAGTTTTAGTTTACTGTCCGGAAGACGGGTTTTGAGAATCGTTTAAAAAATTCATTTTGAATGACTTTGTTTTGATAGAACACCAGACTCTTATGAAAAGACAACGAATAAGTATAAAGCCTTCAAAAGTCACAGTTAATTATTTAACCACGGCTTTGATTATTCACAAGAATTAATAAGAGTGGTGAATTCTCAATTGTGCTTGCATAGAGAGGTGTTGAGAGCTGGTGTAATTTACATTTTACATTGTCCCACTCTTTACCAGCAATACATGGTATTTCTCATCCTTGTGGGTGGTGTATCAGCTATCATGGCGTGGGAGAACAGAGGACACCGCACATGCGTGTTAGACGGAGAGCGTGCGCAGTACGTGTGTGTAATTGGAGAACATTCTGTGGAGAATGGCAACTTCCATAACGTTTACATTAGACTTAAAGCGCAAAAGCACGGTAAGAGGCCGGGAATATTAAAGTTAAATTAGTTTTGTTTCACGATTCATTTTAATTGGTCCAGAAAACTCGTACATCTGCCTCTCAATCAATCAGATCCAGAACTAAAACTAATAATTTCTTGTTAATTGTTCACTGGGATTTTTCCCACGGTTAAACAAATTTGCTTGTTTCACTTTGATTTTTGATTGGCTTCTCGTCATGATATTCCACAACTTCCGTTTCTGGCTAGCGATAATCTTTTTAGCAGTACCCGGATCATCACATGAATTAAAAAAAATTTATTTTATTATTCATATTTAGTGGTGGTCCAGTTTTCTTGTTTTCCATGAAACGTGTATTCCCACACACTCGCTCCCATTCTTTATCGAGAACTACAAAACTTCCTGTGACGTTTCCCTTTCTAGTGCTTAGCTGTTACAGTTGGTCTCAGTTGTTCAACACTCGATCAAAACGTGGTCTAACTTAGACATCTCTACACTAGTTGTCGTCGTTCTCTGTCTGACGTGAGTGGGATGAGTATTGTGGACGAGAAAACGTGTGTGCCTCACGCGTCAACCTTGTCCAGTTATTTTTCTTCCCTCAGTTTTGTATTTACGCCGTCTTTGAACCATCCTTCCAAACTTTTCCCCTAACTGAGACGCAATTGCCGATAGTCTTTTATAGTCACACCCATACTTGGGTTTTATCCTGATTAGGCAGTAAGGCAATGTTGTTCTCGCTATGCGCAGTCGCAATCGTAAAACCAACCTGTCTAGTCACGCACTCGTTCTCTACATTAAGTCACCTGCGTTGCGTGATCCATTCAATTAAGACTAAACAGTTATCATTTCTCTCTCAGGGGCGGGTGAAATGTATTACTATGTCGTATTTAACGGATTCCACCTGACGGAGCAAAAGATCACATCTTATTCCAAAAACGATAAGGCAAATGATTTAGTTAAATTCTTAGAATTTCTCTCAGTTGTAACTGTCAACCAATCTTCTTTTTCGTACATCGCTAATTTATTATCTAACATTGAAATTCAGATCAGCTTGATATCATGTTAACGTAGAAATAAACGGAATGGGAGGTCAGGCTATATATAACTAGACTTGATATAAATCGTTTGTTTCCTGACAGAGCATCAGTGAGAAACTACCTCAGCTGACAATGGAATTCAGTATTGATAATTGCTACATATGTGATAGCTCTTTTTTGAATGATGTTTGCAACACCAGTGCACGTAAATTTTATTGTCTTGAGCGTGTTACCATACGACTGCTGTTTGCACTTCAGTTTCCTCACACTAGATAGGATTTTTTCCTTGATACAAAATAACATAGACATTTCCGATGTTAGTTATTTTCTGAGACTCCCAGTAAAACTCGTGGATTTTACTGTTCAAGGTTTGCCACAAATCAAGTGAAAACAACTTTCTTCCATCGCCTATTGCCTGCTTAAATACTCAAGCGGTTATATAGATCTGCGCAATCTGATTGGTGGAGGATTTTGTTCTCTCATGCAATAATTATGTCGTGCGGGATGATTATGAAATCAAGGACTAATATTTTAAATAGCCACTGCACAATTTTTGATGGCATCAAATTAGACAATGACCAAGAATGCACCATTTGCTTTGATATTTATCTGAGTGATAAGATTGATTCAGGCTGAGATAATATTGTCTTAAATGGAATATTTACGACGATGAGTTAAGACGCTGTCTTTTCTTCTTGTCTTATTTTAATAAACTTTTTTTTTTAGAAGCTGCGTGTGTTGGCAAAGAGGCTGGCGGAAAATCTTAATCTTAACTACTTTGATGTCAAAGCCAGTTCAAGAGACCGTATCTTTTTGTCAAAACAGAAATTTTTCATAATTTTGAGATAATGTTTACAAAGGTGAATAATTTAGAAAGAATGGAAATAATCGCAAAGACGTACATAACAAATCGTGTAATGTAATCGCCTGGGTTAGATAAGTCCTGCGAGAGGGTCTCAGTGGGGTTAACCGTTAGCCGTAAAACGGCCCAAAAATTTAGCCGTTAGGCGTAAAAATTGACAAAATTTAACCGTTAGTCGTAAAAAAAAGTTAACAATAAAAATATGACTGGTGGAAACAATGGAAAGGTGTTAACCGTTAACCGTAAATTGGCCAAAATTTTAACCGTTAGCCGTAAAAGCCATCACCCCATTGAGACCCTCCTGGGAAGGCCTGGTGTCGGTAGTGACTGACGTTTCGAAAACCCTTGCAGAAATAAGTTATTCTCTGATTACCTTATGTTCCTGGTCTTATAATCTTCAGAACAGCCTTAACTTATGGCAGATGTCATTCGACACCGTCCTGTGGTTGATGTCCCAAGTGTTAAGAACAGCAAATTTAATGTTGAGCAGCCTGTGTAATCCTCCTCAGATTATTATATTCTGATCTCACATCCTCGTTGACTTAAATTCATAAATTTACTCAATTTAGCCCTCAACAAAACGTTTAACTTTCTTCTGATGTGTAAATTCAAGAGGTTAGTTGGGTAAACTAAGTAAACTGAACTACAGCTGAATTATTTTGGACAAACAACTTGTAAAACAGTGATAAGGGTGGAATAACAAAATGGCAAATTTTAAGGTCGGTAGAGAGGAAGATGAAAGAGGTGTTTTGTCTTGTTTCGAAGGGATGGGAACCTACGTGTTCCATACTTATATAAACTCGTGGTTACTTACAACAAGAAACCAAGAAAAGTGAGAACAACAAAATGAGTTATAATGCCCATTTATTTTGCTCATGATTTACTGGCCAATCGTACATCCAGTAATTTATCGTTTTGTTCTACGTCATCGCTGCCTGAAATTACATAACATAATATTTGCTATTTTTTTTCTAAAATCAAAACAGTAACAACAACTAACGTCGAAATTCAAAGGAGGTTAGTTGTGTGAAAAAACTTGTAAGCTTGTCTACACCAACCTAATGAACGAAACAAAAAAACTTGGAAATGCAACAGTTTTGAAGGAGAGAGCTCACTCTAAGATCATCGCATTGATTATTGCACCTAATGTCACTTAATGAAAATATGGCCAATACGAAAACGAAAGCTATACTTGAAACTGAGCATAAACATCACAACAAACTCTGCCTCCGTTGTCGCCCTCCGTGTAATTTTGCAGATCCTCAGCGTACCAAAGGTGAAGCTGCTGACCAGCAACTACTGGATAAGGCTTGCCAAATGGGGTTAGCACAATCTCTTTGGAGAATGAGTCATATCCGGGAACCCTGGCCCACTTGCCTCCTTGGTGGTTGTACTTCATGAATTCTGCTGGCGGCAAAATGATCTGTTTGTCGTCCGATGTTGTTATGACCACATCAACCTCTTGTTTTAAACTGCTATGTTGACCACACCCCCAAAATGACCAGTGTTGGGGATGTCTAACGTCACAGGACACGTAACCGTACAAGTGGACCAACTTTATAGCGGCCAGTCCGCCGCCAGATGGCAGGTAGAAGGATCCAGGCTGAGTATCCCTGGTGCCAAAACACACTGGAGCAGTATTTGCCTTCTGCCAGTTACCTAAGGGAAAGATAATCTTCATTACATTTGGTCACGAAACCTAGTCTTCACCAAGCTTCCAACTTTAAATCAATAATAGCCTGGTTTTCGGTTGGGTGTGGACAAAATATGTGCCAAATGAGATCTCATGATAAAGGTTTTAAAATTATTTTTAAAATCTTGTTGTTGTCGACGAGGCATTTGTAATTTGCTCATCTTGAAAAAAGAAGCTTGTATTTTTCAAGTTTGTCACTCAAAGAATCGATAAACAGAGCATTTACATTAAGACAGCACGTGTTAGATTCGGTTAAACTACCTTATGTTGACATGTTTGTGTGTACGTGTATTTTTGACTCATGTTACCCCGTGGCTGAAACGTTTCCAATCTCTCTTTGAAGTGGTAAAATCTCAATCATAATGTCAACAAACGAGAGAGGCGTGCAATTTCAATTAATTTCTGTTAATCCATAATTTGGGCATTACCTCATCCCAGAAGGAACAGGATTTGGTTTAGAGTCTCTCGAGTTCCTTTGACTAAAAGATAAGTTAAAATTAAAAAAAAAGGACTAGTACGTGTATGTCAACTGAGTTGCTTGCAGTCCTGATTTAAGGATGATCAAAGTCCCGTTCCCTTCCCCCCTAAATGAAAAATCAAAAATAAATCGACGTCGTAAATAAATAAACTGCTTTAAATACCTGAGGCCTGTGAGTTCACGCTTTGACCAGTGAAGAAAATCGCGATGAAACACAAAGCTTTCCAATCTGCAGTCTACAAACAATACAACATTATTTGTTGATACATCGCAAACTCATTCCTACTGTTAGAAAGGCATCATGTGACCATCACGGTCAGTAATAATTATCGGATATCTCGTCGGGCAGAACGCCAATTGTTCTCTTGACATGATGGAGATGAACATTTTTGTGGGGTGTCGGTTTTATTGGACACGATTAAGCGTGGAATCCTCTCTATGAAACACTTCTTACTTCGCATTAGGAATCAAACCCCAGACCTTCGGATTCCACGCCTCGATGCTCTATCTTGGCGAGCTTGTTCGTTGTTTGGTAGCGTCGCCAATATGTTTGAATAATACACAGTTAACTCTTGCTGCAATGCTGGCCATTTCTTTTTTTTTTTTTTTTTTATCTTGTGTCTGGGTTCGCTTCGTCATAAATCGCCGTAACTGTGGTTATTTGTTTAAGGGAAGAGAAAGCTCAAGGATCTCGCTCAAGAGAATATCAAGCATCCAATTATTCAACAAGCTAAACAACTTAACTAGACAGGTTGAACTGGTCGTTAGATTCTGAGCATAACTAGCGATAACCGCCGTACATTAGAGAGGTCGATGGGCCACCTTAAAAACTGGCCTTAGTAGGTACTCACATGCCTAAGCGTGGAGCGTGTTGAATCCTCTACATGGAAAAGTTTATACGAGTATACTATATTATACAAAAAACATTATTTTACGATAAGATTCTCTCACCATTTCGAGCCTTGAAGAATAGTTCTTTTCCAAGTTATTCGCTGGTTCTCTTCAAGCTGCCAGTAGACTTGAATGATGAGTACAGAAATCATGGCTACTTTTATACAGTATTATTCGTTTATCATATCAGCTTCCTGTGTACGTGATCTTTCGAGCAATTTGTACCTTTGCCCTAAGCGGAATTGGTATCAAACGAGCTTACCTGTCACTCGATCCTCTCGGAATTCTGGTGTAATTGTCTTTTGATGTTGTTTTTCCTCGTTGCTACGTATGTTCTATCTTATTTGTTCTATCGTGCTTTCATAATTTTAAACTAAAAAGTTCTGATCATGCAAGGTGACTACTGTTCCATCTCAGTGGATCATTGTCTATTTTACTTAAAAAAGTAATGTACTTTTATGTTTTGAGAACTGTGGGGAAACTCCATTATTGGTCTTGTTTCTGGCTCTCTTTTCAGTTGTAGTCGATGTATTTTGCACACAGTTTGGCAGGTTCATGTATTGTTTATAAGGTATTTGGATAACGGATGTGATATTTGAGGAATAAGCTGGTTCAATTTTTTAAAGTATTTAATTGCTCGGATGAAAGGTCGCGATCATGCAAAGTCACTGCTGGACCTCTTTTTAGGGATTTTACGTCATTCTTGTCATATATACGACAATTCGGCCAGGCACGTTTTCATCCTTAAAATGTATACTTAAGAACAAAATTGCCCAATTTATCTGCGAAACGTAGTTAAATAGTATTTTAATTAAGTATTTTTTCATGGGTCAGGAACAAAATCCTGGAATCTATAACAGAAGTTTTCAGACTAAAATTTGTGATTTTCCATGCCTGACCAATAATGTGACTCCAACTAAAAAAGTTCTTAGCCTTTTTTAAAACAGCTAGTTAAAGACGCAGGAAAATTCATGTAAATTGTGAAGGAATGTCCTTTTCATTCTCGCATAGATTAAAGAAAGAACTTCAAATTTTGTGGGTCTTATTGGGGAAAACATTCCCTTTTTGGGGAATATTGCTCGCATTGTATATGAAGGATGATCACCTATTGTTATATGGCACGTCAATCCTTATTAGCGCATAGTCGCATGTTTTTGTAAGAACAAACCAGCGAGTGTGGTCAGTTATGCAATAATGATTTCCAATGCTACTCCCCTCCCTAATTGTTTTAGAGCTCTTGTTTTCTTCTTTCTTGCCCTCTCTCCTTCTCTTCTCATTAGGAAAGAACACGGAACCCATAAAAGGCGCTAGTTCAAGACTTTCTGGTTTAATAAACACGATGCTTTTGACAGATTATAAAAAATGTCATTACATATCGTTCCTTGCATGATGTCGCTCTTGCTAATGGTTTTCATTTTAAGAGACTTTTTGCATGTATCTTTTAAGGAGTTTTGATGTGTTCGGCGCGCATGTATTGTGTCCTATAGTATTTTGTTCACCTCCTTGGTGGAAATCTCTTTATCTATTAAGCAATGGATAAATAGTCTAGGCTTCAGTTTTGAATGACTTCCTATTTTTCTTTTCATTTTTCTGTTATTGGAAAAAAATACTTCTTTTCAGGGGGAAATTTTCCATTCATTAAGTACTGCTGGACATCTTAATCTACTTATAGACGTATTCGCAAAATTCTCAGGTTCTCAAAAACACTAGGTTCGGAAATAAGCTGACCGATTACCGTTGGATTCTGTCAACATCATGGAGGCAGTTTTGGGCTATTAAAAGCTTAAATTCGATTATGACTTGGAGCTTGTCGTGCTGGAACCTCGTTTTCCAGGTACGTACAAGTTACTGTTTACCGGGACGTATTTCCACACGTATTTTCTCAGTCGGCAACGTCTCAAGTTTAATTCCTCAATAGCCGCTCATCTTGCATTCAAGTGTCATTCATTTGCGAGACGTATGATTTTATCTTCGTAATTGTAATTTTCCCAGTTTATTAGCACTTGGTTTGAAGATAGGCACAGGAAATGCCGACCGCCTGTTTTAACGTCCTCTCTTACTTGCTTTTTATGGAAGGAAATTTTGTTTTGTCAATGGAATTACATGGATTGTTGCCGCTTCCTTTTGTCTGCCGCTCATTTAGTCACAGTCAGTATACCTTGGGGAGGGAAGTCGAGAAAAATCGATTATTGATAAATATCGCATCGCGTAGAATGTGTGGGCATCACTGATTATCAATAAACGATAAAGCAGCAAATTTGAACACGACCTCGCTTGAATAGCCCTAAATTTGAGAAGAATGGGCCAAAATTTACCCGCTAAGCTTAGTAAAACACGCTCTTCTGAGTGTTACAAGTACTTACTTCTTAATCAACGTGTGGTTTTTTTAAATCGAATCGACGAATGAGTTTCGAAATGCGTCGATGACTACGCTGCTTAAGGACAGATCAGAATTGCATTGATTATAAATGACTTGGAACCATTGGAAAAAATTTTACAAACCTTTATAGAGTTTTTTAAGGCTAAGCTTGTATCTGCCTTGGTAAGATTTTTGTCCAGCTCCATACTTTATCATGCTTATAGTTTTAGAATAAAGATACTAATGGTGAAAACAATAGATTGCCTTTGGGACTACAGTTTTGTTTTGCAATGATATGAGACTGTGCGGAAATCTTACCTCGGCCTTGCATGAGGGAATGCAGACGTGAAGAACTACCGTTATTAAATTTTAGCGAGAGAGAAGTTAAACTCTCGAATAAGTTTATAGTTTTGTCGAACACAATGTTGTGGTGAAGAGTCCATCAATAAGTGCAGTGTCACTGTTGAACTCATCAAGTTGAATGAAGATTTTCGATATATGAAATTCATATATTTGCACTGCGGTGAATAGATGAAATTAAGAGACCCTCGCAGCTAAGAACACTACTGAAACGAGTAGTTGAAAATAGGACCTGAAAAAAGTTCAGGCCCGTACGGGATTTGAACCCATGACCTCTGCGATACCGGTGCAGCGCTCTACCAACTGAGCTAAAAAGCCAACTGGGAGCTGGTTAATGTGTTGGGTCCAAATAAACCATCCAAGTAATGAATGAAGATTTTAGATATATGAAATTCATATATTTGCACTGCGGTGAATGGATGTAATTATGAGACCCTCGCAGCTATGAAAACTACTGAAACGAGTAGTTTAAAATAGGACCTGAAAACAAATCCCGTAAGGGCCTGAATTTTTTCCAGGTCCTATTTTCAACTACTCGTTTTAGTAGTGTTCTTAGCTGTGAGGGTCTCTTAATTTCATCAAGTTGTGTTGGAGTTATCTCTTGCATCATCTGCATGACGGTTTTTTGGCAAAAACTCAGCCATGTCTTGTTTAGTTCTGAGTAGGAAGAGCAGAGTTTTAAGTAGAAGATAGTCCTGTAGTCTAAGCTTTTCGAGGTTTTTTCCTGGCGGTGAAGGAAAACTTCGTTTATCAGCTTTCTTCCAGACGTTTGTCTCCTGTTGCGATGTCATCGTTAGTACTTGAAGTACTTGAACAACTTTTAACGTCGTTATTGTCAAATGGCTGTGACACTCTACTTTGCTTCGCCATATTGTCTACTTCTGAATAGTTAACGATAAATCTTGCAAGAAACTAGCACAGTAAAAATTGTCATGCTTTCTTTATTCAGTTTAAAGTAGTACTCGGAATTAAATAGCCACGTGAAATACGTCATCCAAGCACGCCTTAGTCACGTAATCCGAAATTTCTTATCAATAATTAAGAGAAAGAAAAATAAATATCTGGACTGGAGTATTTTTAGGAGACCTTCCGAAGGTTAGGGGCTTGTTTAAATTGATAACGTCAATCTCACACGCGAAAGCTCCAGCTTTGAAAAAATACTCATCACGCGCTTCGAAAGAAAACTGATTTATCCACGCAACATAAAACTGAAAATATCACTGTAAGTTGCGAAAGCGAGTAAAATTATCGTTTGAAAATGGAAAGTAGGATTTTAAAAGGAGAGAGTAACATTTGTGCCATATTTCATGTTTTCCTTATCTATCGTGTGATCACTTCTAGTTTGTTAAGCTTAGGTCGACGATCTCTTAAGGCAGTAGCGGAGTTAAGCTTGATATTTCCGTGAAACGCCAAACTTAAGGAAAAAATCACCGCTGTGTGCTCACAACAAGTTGTGTGCGTGTACTCTGGTGAAACACATGTAATAGTTGTGATCCAAAATATCGCTTTTATATTTTGGCACAGAGTTGATTTGTCGATTATAAGAAAAGTGATTATATTGTTTAGTCATCTCTTGCTATCGCCGCAAAAGTTTTGCTTAAAGTCACGATTTGCATTAGATTATTTTAGGAATATAGATATATCGTTGTGTATATAAATAAATATATATAAAAATAAACAAATGAACAGATAGGTTATCAGAGGGTTAGATAGCCATTGGCACTATAAACAGTTCTCAGTTGACGTAAAACATTGCCACATATGAAACTCTTTCGGAAATCGTTTTGAATACTGAAACCACCGTTTAAAAGATCTGTTTTGATGACGATAATTACTACAATTGATAAAATGATAGTCCTCTTAACTCTCAGGTTATACACTGAAATTAGAATGAGCTGGGATTCCCATACGTGGCTGGCGGTTTTTCGGGTGTAGCGGGAAGAAATTCGAGGTGGAGGAAACGCGCAAATGACTGGCGGAGATCTGCTTTACCTGCATAGAACTAAAAATCCCATCGTTTACCATAGTTCATTCAATGAACTTCAATCAATCTCATCTTGAAGAAATTGAATCAGACCAACTAAGGATTGCTGTAAGGGTAGAAGCAAGGTGGCTGCTCATCTGATGTATTTTAAAAAAAAATAAAAAGCTCACCCCATCACAGGCAGTGTTTAAAGTCGGAATCCACCGCTCATTCTGGACTGATCAACAAAGACCTATTAAGTCAACAAATTAGCGTGAAAAGTCGACCTTTTCTTTCGGACGAAACCCAATCTTTTGGATTAGAACTCTTTTCTAAGCAAATGAGTATGGCCGTACGACATGGCATCAAGTGACCAATACCTAATAGGTGAAGTACCGTTTATTACCTGGGCTTCCTATGCAAAAGCTCAAGTTAAAGTTACCCTACGATCGCCATTTATCTTCCTAAA